GCTTAGCTTCTGGCCAGCCAAAGACAGAAAGAAGCATTCTTTGTTACTGATGTAATGTGTGACTACGAGTAATGGGACATGATGCCAGATGCTTTGCTCTGCTTTCACTATCCATGGTCCAACACCTTCAATCAATGGAGGTGATAGATTATTGGCAATGCCCTTAAAATATTTTTTCTCTTCCCAAAAGCATCACTTCTGCTTTTTCTGGAGCATGTTTTAGCTGGCTGCTGTTCTGCATCTACTTAGCTATTTCAGGCTGTGGAACATTTTAGTGACAGTGACGGTTTCACTGGATGAGTAAGACTTACACTTGAGCTTCATCCACATACTGATGGCAATGGAGTCTCAAGCTGCTCACTGTTTGTCCCAGCAGGTCGCTGATAGACTATTGAAGTGGAGGATTGACTGTAATAACCTCAGGAGACTCCACATGTTTAGGGCCTGGGTAAGGATGTTCACGTGTCATCATGAACCTCTGGTGACCTTTCTGACAGAAATAGTGGCTCTAGGTGGTGTCATCAGCATCACATGGCCAACAGTGTCAAAGGCTGCTGAGTGATCTAACAGTATGGCCCTGGAGGTTGTCTCTGTGCCATGTCTTGTTCTGAAAACTGAATGGCAGAGATCCAGGGCACTGGAATATGATGGTTGTTACTGGAGTTTAGATATCACATCACTACTGTCTCAGTGACCTGGCTGAGAAAAAATAAGTTGGAAACTGAGCACTAGTTGACAACTTTGTTAGCACCTAGTGTGGTCTCCTTCAAATCTGTCTGGACTATTGCATTCTTTAAGATGTCTGGGAGCTCTCTTTCTTTGAAAGCATTGATGATTTCAGCTACTGTTGAGGCCAGGTAGTCGGGACTAGTCAACGCTAGCCAACACCAGCTAAGAGACTGGTTTCAAAAGTGGTATGCTGGACATACTGGAGTGCTTCTAGGGCTTCCACGCAGGTGCTTGGCCCAAGCTCTGATAAGGCAATAGTGTGTAGGGATCTATGCATTGAATCCTGTGTACTGGAACCTGGATGTTGCTATATATGAGAGATTAATGATGAGGGGATCATGAGAAGTTTGGTGCTAAAGGCAAAAGAAAAGGAGTCACTGGCTTGAAAAAAAATCATGTTAAATTATTTTATTTCCTAAAAAATACAGTACACAGTAGCGTGTCTCTTTTTGTTGTTTTTCCACTGAAGAGAGCCAGGGAATGAAGCAGACTGCAGCTGTAATGGTGGGCCAACTTGGGCTCCTCCCACCAGGCTCGGATGCTGGTGTAAGTGTTTATCATGTGCCTAAATAAATCCATCATCTGCATCTTTAAGAAGTAAGTGTGATTTTCCATTTCCTCCATCTTCACTGTTGCCTCCCACGTCATATAGGTCAGCACTCTCTCATTCCTCTTTATTATGCTAATAGCGGTGGGCATTATCTGTCCATAAAATGTATTGCCCCGACTTTCTGCTGACAGGCCACAGAAATACCAAAATTACATACTTGCTAGACTGCAGAAAGCTTCCTGCTAGCAGAATGTGACAATAGACGGACAAGCACACTGCTGCACTTGCAAGGATCCCGGAAAGCCGTAGAATTAGGAAAAAGCAACAAATAGCAAAGCAAATTGCAGCTGAAAAATTGTAACATTATTCCCTTTTAATATATATTGTTAAAAATGAACATTTTTACAAGCTGAATAGATGAGAGTCCAGATGCTGTCTGCGTATGTCTTATGCATTTCATGATTACAAACAAACTGCAGAATACATATCAAGCCATCTAAAATGGTATGGATATGAGCCCAGCTGGTGTCCCCATATGCCTTATGAATTTCACCATGTAGGGATACAGCAGAGCATATATAAACTTGGCAGAATTTGATTTTTTTAAATATAATTTTGATGGATGTTTATTTTTAAGCATTTTTTACATTTTAATTTATATAAGTTTTCACATTTGGGGAAAATTATGGGGGGAGGGACACCAGACAATTATTTAATGATGTTGAGATTCAAAAAGTTAAGGTTTATAACTGCTAAAGCACAAAATTGTCAACACCACATATCAAAACATAGAAATAATGATCCTTAAATCAAACGCTAAGTTCTCAAGCAGTGTCGTTCTTCCTTTGCATAGCTGTAAATGTTGATTCTGGATCGAGATATTTTTCCATTGGTTTGTATGTGTTTGGTGAAATCAATGTTTGCCGACATTTTCTGATAAAAATCTAATCATCTAAGTATAGCATCAGAGCTGGTTTCTGCATTTTAGGCATCTCTTCTTTAAAACGTACAAGTAGGGTTGCTGCACTGGAGTGTTCTGCACCATAATCAAAACAGGCCCATCAAGAGTTCATGAAAATATTTGCATTTTATAGTCATCCAATATATTTTACTGGGAACAGCACTGGCCTAGCTAATATATTTTCCAGGATGAAATATAGCTACTCAATGTGGAATCCTCAGTGCTGCATAGTACCATGTACTTCTAAAATTCTAAAAAAAAGCCCTCGGGGTAAAGAAACAGATCAATGACATGGTAAGTGGTGGGCAAGTTTACTAACTGCTACCTAAAGTGCAATAAGACCAGCCCCTCTGCTGTACACAGTAGATGAAGACTAGTTAAATACTGTGGAGATACATCATGGAATTCTAGTGCATCCTATAATAATGAAGACTGTCAGTCAACATCAACTTTTAAATTACTCTGCTCATCTTATTTACTTGTAGACTATCAACTGCCTACTGTCCCAGATCATTTGTCTAAAAAACACTGTGTCTACAAATGAAAAATAAAAATAAAAATACAGTACACAGGAGAGTGTTGCTTTTTGCTTATCCACTGTCAGTTCACAACAAAAACATCTGATCAATTTAACCCAAATACTTGACTGGCATAGATCCCTGAGAGGGGGAGAGAGACCCAGTTACAAGTTGAATATACACAATATGCTGAAAAAAATCTCAACATAAAAGAGCCTATTCGTAATATTAGATAAAAGCTGCAGGATCAATACCATGCCAAAAAAAAAAAAAAAGTGAAGATTTCACTTAAAGCTGCACATAGAGCAATTTTTAGTGGGTTGGCTCCTAAAGAGCTAGAGGAAGAAAGGTAAATGTATTTAGCAGGGTGAAAAATACTATAATTTTTTAAACAATTGATATTTTAATGAACACTGTTGTCAATAGTGTAAGCAGCATTGTGGTGCTTGAGGACTCTATTCTTGCTTTTTTCACTTCCATGCATCTTTATTTTGGATTTTCAGTTTAGCTGGATAAATATATGTTCTGTTCTCTGGTCTTCTCAAATAATATTCACACTATGTGATCCTGCTCTGTCCTCCAGGCAGTGTTTAGGTTATTAAAGTAGAGATTAAATGGACATTCCCTTTAAACCTATACTTTCCCTTCATTTGGTCAATAAACATATAATGTACACTTGACATCACTTTTTTTTTTAATAGGTTGGGCAGCCTCCACCACTGGTTAGTGCATAGGCATTAAATGTGTGGAAAATGTGAGGCTTGGCATGCTCTGCTTGTTTCAACAGATCTACCAACACTGCTATTCTTGATGTGTGAATAACTGTAGCATTATATCTGCAGTTGCCAAAGCTAAGTCTTCAGAGATAGGTCAAGCATACACTCTATCAAACAGTTGCAAACCCTTTTGGGCTCTCCACCTATATAAAATTACTCTATATGGGCCAACTTCAGCATTAATGGAGAGCTGGATTGCCTTTCCAATGGGTAGGTTTGATATGATCGTGAACACTAATAAGTGGAAAAAGAAGATATGAATGCATGAAGTTAAAGACAAGTCAGGTTCTCGATTACACACTACAGCAATTGTTGGAAAATTTGAAATATGTCCTCTGTTATGCTCCCAATCAGACCCCCTTGTGCTTGATTATATAAGTTCTGGTCATGTTAGCTAAAGGGACCAGATGTTTACAGGTATTTAGGTGCTGCACTCAGCATTGTAACACCTAACTGATTTAGGAACCCAAATCTCATTTTCAAAAGGGATTTAGGCACATAGGAGCCAAAAGATCATTGACAATCCTGAACTCAGCAGTACCTAAATATCTTGAGCAATTTGGGCCAAGATGTCTATGATTACATTTATGCAGCCACTTTCCCCACAAATTCCCTGAAACAAAAACATAGGGTACAGAAATATGTAAATTGCTTGTTAAGCTAGTTTCCCCTTCTCCTTTTCCCCCATTCACCTTGACACATACACTTCCAGCATGCCAGCTGGGTGCCCTGAGATGCATAACATACTCAGAGGGAGAATATAGACTCCATGTAGTTTCAGTGATCTGCAATAGCTGTACTTCTCATGTTAGTTACAGAAAGAATTAAGATATCCTGGGACTAAGAATGGAGCCCTTAACTCAGAATGAGAAATCATTACTAAAAAAGGATATATACCAATGGCCAGAATTTCTATATTTTGTCATGTCCTTTATCCTAGCTACAATGTACATCATCCAAGACATTCAGGAACTACATATCAACCACTGGACTACACTTAAGTCAGGAAAATATCCAAATAAACTTTTAATTATGATACAATACTTATTACAGTAAAAATTGGCATTTTTTCTCTTCAAAAGCAGAAGCACCAGTCTTACATGTAACATATGGTATGAATGATATCTTAAGTGAAATACAGCATAATATAATGAGGAAACAGCATTTTAGTACAGAACATAATTTTAAAAAAAATTTCATACACTGAAATCTGCTCAAATGGAAACAATGTCATGCTGAATTAAAAACTCAGATTTTAAAAATCCAAATCAATCAGAAAATGATGTACTGCTGAATAGATATATGAATAATTAAAATGATAAATAGCCAAAAAAGGCTAGAGAGGGCATTGTCATACAAACATGACTAGTGTTCAGATTCCTTCCCTCCCCCCACCTCCATAAATAAATACATAAATAATGGTGCAATGCTTTTGTTGGAAAGTAAATTGAACATTTAATATTTAAGAAGCAGTTTTCAAATGTTGATGTAGTTTTAATGTTGTAAAAATCAAGTTATAAATCAGACAATTTTTACTCTCTTATTTTCAACACACTTCAGTTATTATGAGTGGACTGTGAAAAGAGATGATGTCCAGTGTAGTGAATACACAGCAGCTTCATCATCATGTGACTTCTGCAAAGGCCGTGATGTGGTTCTGTAAGTTTAAAAAAAAACAACAAATCAAACAAACGCACACAGTTAGCTATGTATAGTCATCATAACAAAAATTATTCCTATTTTTGGCTTTTGAAACATTCTTATGCTTGGAGAGTTTTGTAGTACAATGTAAATAAAAATGTTTCTAATTGCAATGCTGTCCATCCCTTCCCATAGCAAATCTTTTTTTAAATATTGCAAAAATTGTATACATAAGTACAGTGAACAAAGTAACTCAGTGGTATAGTTCTACAACATTTTAGCTTTTAATGCATTTTTCATTTAATAACAATTTAAATAATTAAATTAGTTGTCGTTTTATTGCTGTCTTATTTATAATTAAAAGCTAAATTTCTGGGAATGCAAACTGCTGCCTGACAGCTGATAGTATTCTGTTTTAGTGTTAATACAATTTTAATGTTGCATTTCTTTTTAAGTTTAATTGCTCCCTGTGAGCCAGATGGCATGGAATGAAGTAGTGAAATGCTAGAATTCACTAGTTTATAGAACATATTAAAAATTACTTCTTCAGACCCATTGCAGCATCATTTGCAATGTTCTTCTGTTGCTTCCTTCAACAAGTGTATTCTTTAAGAATGTGTGTGTATCTGTAACAGGTTTTACTTCACTTTTTACTTAAAACACTACACAGTAAAAAAAACTGTAGTGTCCAGAATAATTATGCTGTCCATTGTCATGCTCCAGTCTGAGCCTGCTCATGCAAACACTTATGCAGGTGGGTAACTTGACTCACGTGAGTCTCATTCACACACCTGCTGAAGTGTTTGCATTTGGTTCCTAGTGGTGGGATTCTGCAAGGCACTGAAAGCCTACTCTGTGGTACCAACTGTTCTCAACTCCTGTTGTCTTCAACATACAATCTCTTTTCTAAGGAATTGTTTAAGCCACCATTGGGAAACATGTTTTAAACAGACAAAATGAAACACAGTCCTATTGCTATAGGGCCCTATGCATCTCCTCCCATGTGAAAATGCATGGAGGAAAATTTAAGCTGGAAGTACTGCAGATTTTGGTGTATTGCTGTAGTATCACATCTTTTCTCTTGCCACCTTCTCATATCCCCCAGCAGTAGGACCACAAGTAACGTGGAGACAGTGCAAGGCAAGAAAAATGGGTAAAGGATATGAAAGACTGTACACGCCTTACCCTACTGTCACTTAGTCTGACTCTCCTCAGTGCCCCTTCCAGCATCATCTCCCTTTGCCAGTAACATTCCTAACTGTGTTCTCAATTGCTCTCAGGCTGTGGGCTGGTTTTCTGATTCATGTGACGGGGTTCAGAGCTCACATAAGGGTCATTCATATTGCACCATCCTTACTTTTTAGAAGGAATTTAATCTGTGCAAGAAAGGAAAGGTGCTGCTTAAAGTGCAAATTCCTTAGCTCTTCCTCTAGACCAGTCTCCTATGGGGATAGGGGCATTTTATGGAAGGGAATGTAGTAGTTACCCATTGGAAGTGGAGAGATGGAACATCCTACCATTACACCCTATGTCCCTCTATCTCTAACCCCAGTCATTCTGGTGACTTTGTTCCTGGCCTCACAGCACAGCAAAGGGACATAACTATGTTTTATTTGGCGGGGGGAGGGGAAATAACCCATGTTTTCTATTATGATTTTTAAAAAAATACTGGAATAAAAAAGAAAAGCTTTTGTATTAGTGGAACTTTGGATTTCTGTAAAGTCTCTATTTTAATTTTACTCAAAAACATAACAAAAATGCTTTAAACAAATGACAATTGATTAAACGTCTGCTAGCAAATTACTTTTTCTAATGATCATTTTGATTACTACAGAACTTGATGTGAAGAAGTTTTCAGAGTTTAACAGTGTTAATACTTGGCAAAGATTTCTGGACTGTCGTCACAAAAGAGAAATAAAATTAGATTTCTTAAATGGAAAACAACATATTCAGATGAAGCTCAGGGAACTATTTACTTACTGGGCCAAATTCTGCTCTCAGTTATGCTTGTGCCACCCCACTGAACCCAAAGCAGTTGCAGGGGATTACAAAATTTGGCCCACTGTATTTATATTGACACCTATTTAGACCTGAAAAATGATACTGTCAACTTAATCTGATTGCTGTCTAAAAATTTTTTATCTATTGTTATAACAAACGCCTAATTGAAAGAGATTAGCGAAATAAATATTTACTCTGTTTTTTCTTTAGGTAACGTTTTCAGAAAACGGGACTTAGGTAATTTTGAACATTTAATCCTTTGCATACTTGATGATACTTTACATTAATATTCAGTTTCTACTGTTGTTTATGTGGATTTTTCACATAGCAACAGAGAAAAGGAAACATTTTAAAGAACATTCGCTGGCAGGGGCACTCTGGTGCCCCTGGTGTAGAAGGTGTAGAACCTGAAACTGCTTAGCTCATCGTTTTGAAATTGGCTAGATTTTCACTCTAGAGATACAGTGCTCTTCCACAAAAGTATCCAATGGAGGGGTTAGTGGAACCCAGACTGGCGGTCAATATTGAGTTTCATGGACATCTTTTTCCTTGGGAGTGTGGAGGAAGCAGGTGTTATGGCCTTCCAAAACCATAGATCCTGTGCATAATCCCCCTTTCTGAGGTTGTGTGTGTGTGTGTGTGTGTGTATGTGTGTGTGTGAGAGAGAGAGAGAGAGAGAATGCACAGAGTCCAAGTTTAATGCTGTTTCAAGTGGCATTACTTTAGGAGTGGATACCTACTGCTTAAGGAGAAGAGAATGCCAATGCCAGTAGTTTCATCTTCCTACCTCTAAAAACCAGCTGGTCACCAAACCCCTAGATCACACACACGGGTGCATCTGTGTGGTCTCAGGGCAAAGGGTATCCTACTGCAAAGGAATTCCTGCACAAGATCCTCAGCAAGATCTGCTAACTTAGGATCGCCTCCGGTTATGGAGAGGTTGATCTTGTGAACATCCTTAAAACTTGCCCAGTTATTTTCAATGGATTTTGCAAGATGCCATTTTAAATGGATCAAAAAGTAATGACTTACTTGTGCCAGGACTGACTGGTATTGATGCGTGCAAGTGTGGCACTCTTCGTGCTTTCATATATAGTGTTCTCAGACATAGATTCTGAGGAAGGATGGTATTTAGAGAAAAAATAGACTCCCTCTAGAATAAGTGACTCTTCAGTTGCTTTACCATGCCCTTTTACTTCAGTTTAGCTTTATTATGACAGAGAATTCAATGTATGAAATTTGCAACAATGCCAGCAAAGGCACACACAGATGCAACAGACAAGCAAAAAAGCATGCATGAGAGCTCAAATCCTCAAACTCCATGGGAAATAGTTATACCACTTAGTGCTCAAAAGAATTAAGATACAGTTGAGTTCTGTTAAACTTTAGTAGTTTTACACATTGGTACACTGTTTTGTGTTATTTTAAATTGACAGTGTGACGTCTGTGGAAGCAGGAAGAGAAGATTTTAAAGACTTCATGCTTTGTAATTATTCCTTCAAACCAATAAAAATTAAAAAAGTGAAATGCTAAAAGTTAAACCTTGAGTGCAGGTTTCTGGGGAAAAAATCCCATGTTTTGTAGCATGTTTTTATGTATTTAATTTTGATTTATAACCTGCTACAGACTGATCAAGTGCATGTTGTACATGAAAAATTCCACATCCTCTTATTTATCTTTTGTATTTTCCTTTACACAGATTTCACATTTTAGAGTAGGACATACTCTTTTCTATTCCATAAAAACAGTCTTTACTAGAGTTGTGAATACTTAAAAATAGCCATTTATGCAACAAAATTTCTCTTTTCAAGACACTTTAAAAAAAGTTCCTACACTGCCTAGAATGGTGGAGTTTAAATTAAAGTTAATAGAAAAATTTAAAAGGAGCAATTCAGAAAAATTCTGTAGTTGCAGAAAGTTAGCTCTCCCATATTTAAGTCCCAACACAAAAGAATATCTCCTGGTTCTACAGGAAAGAGAGGCATTTTTAGAGAACACAGCAAGTAATCCCTCAGTGAAATGCTACTTCTTGCAAAGTTCTAAACCTGCACAGAAGGCTGACATACATTATATCTGCCTTTGCTTTAAAGCCACACTCCAACACACTAGTGCGCTTCTGCGCACATACGTTTATTGCCTTATGTGAAGATGTTCGAAACGGTTCATTCGTGTTATCCAGGAGAAGAACCTAACGAGGTGTGCTTTGAAGGAGTTTTGTTGTAAAGGGTCTTCTTGATTGTTATCAATATCTGGATTCTGTAATACCTACAATATGTATTTTTACAGAAATCACATTAAACATATTTTCACATTTCTTTTGTTCAACTGCTATTTCATTGTACTACTTACTGAAACTCAGATGTGTGATCATGTCATTTGCATTTGAAATAAACAAACATCTACTTCCAGGCAACTGTAGTGTAACAGTGGGAAAGGTCTGATGGGAACATATATTCAGATGCTTGATTTCAGTAAAATTTGGAGCTAAACTGCTTTCTATCCTTTTTTGAATGCGCTCTCTCCTGTGTTTATTGTACATATTGTTGACATACTGAGTGATCAAGATATAGCCATATGGGCACAAAAGGTCAGCAAAATTTCTCATAAGAAATTTAAACCCAGGCATTCTGGTTAGATGGCATGCTAGTGAGAACAGATCTGTCCACATGTTCAAATATGCATTGCATGTATGGCTACCTCAATACTTACACCTCCCAATTAAATCATAATCAAAACACTTCATCTTAGCCTTCTAAGGATAAATGTACTCAGCCCTAAGGTTAAAACAGCAGTTTTGCATTGCTGAGCCAGCACTGGCAATGATCCTTCGAGGGGAGACACCGCACCCACAGCTTCTGAGCATCACAAAGACCGAATATCTTTCTTTCAGCACTGCTTAATCACCTCCAAGCATCCCAATTAAACAGACTTGGCAGCTAATTAATAACCATTCCTTGTCATTAGGTGGCATTAGGCTCAATTCAGCTTGCTAAGAAAAATTCTAAGTAAGTGAATAATGTCTCCAATAGGCACACGCACAAGGAAGGTTGCTCATTATTAAGTCATACAAGGGAGCAATATAAGCTCCCCTGTGCAGCTGGCCATCTCTGCCAGCTGGCATGGAGCTGTGGGGAGTGGCAGAGATATGGCTTTCCTTTCTCCCATTTCCCTTTTGGTGCCCATGGTGATGCCAACAGAGAGCATTCGCTGGGGTCACGAGAGTGCATGGGCTGGAACCGTATTGGTCCTAGCACAAGTGGTTGCCGTGGAGAAGGATCTGTGCGCTCACCTCCATTGGCCACCCAGGAATGTGCTGGGTGCCATCTAGCCTTATGTGAAGAGTATTCTATCACAGATATAGGTATTGAGCCTGGTAGCAGAACATCGGGGAGTTTCCAGGCATAGGAAGTGACAGTATATTTTCTTCGTTTATGGGAAGAGATGAATATATTATTTTAGGATGGATGAGCAACCACCCCTTCCGCTGGGGCAACAAATGAAGTCAGTTTTAAGCAAGAGAATGGCTCCATTTTAGTTCTTTTTCTTTATTAAAGAGAAACAGAATCATTGAAATGTTTCTCCCCAGCACTGCCTTGGTCCATGGCAACATGATCCTGTCAGAGTTTAAGTCATGCACAGTAGTGATTTGCTGTCATTAAGTTATCCTGACTACTGCTACAGCAGCATGTAAACTGATAATAAGGAAAAGAGAGACTCCAATATTCCAATACACGCAAAGTCAGGATTGAGATTTAGGATAGTCTAATTTGGTATATGCTTATCAACAGGTGAGGGAAGGAAAAAGCATCATGCATGCCAGCTTTCAAGCTTGCCTTTGTCTCCAGAGAAGACCATATTATAAGAGGTTAGCTAGAAAACAAAAAATGAGTTGATAATAAAAGCATCTAGCAAGAGATTGGGGTTTGAAGTAATCTAGCCATAAATTAGATTAATTTTACACATCTCTCTACTATTTATTATTAATTATGAATTACTATTTGACTGTTTCTCTGGATCCTATCCAGAACTGTAGGCTGCTGCAAAAATTTAAATCACACCACTGAAAATTTAAAAAATTTCAATACAAGACTTTAATTTCCAATTATAAATCTTCCAGTTAACTTATTTTCTGAAAAAAGAAAGATGCTTTTCCCACTGCCTAAATCATCCTTCAGTTTTCACCTCTCTACCTCGGGACCCCTAACATGCCTAAGAGTCTGAAAGACAAGGTGGGCTTTGCAGCAAACCCTGGGCTTGGGCTGAGCCAGGAGGGAAATGAATTACAGTGCTGAGAACTCTCATGGAAAACACCTGCTGCTATCCCCCAACCTGAGAATGCACCACTGATCTCAGCTGATGGAATATGAGTTGGAGAGAGAGGCAGTCTCTCATGTTGCAGGGTCCCAAACCACTCACAAATGGTGGACACATTCTCTCAGCCAGGATGAAGATATTACGCTCGCAAACTCATCCAGTGGTTTCACCCAATCCACCGTCATCACATCAATCTTGCCTGAAGTAAGCCTCAGACAGATATTATTGGATGAGATGGAAGAGGGACAACGAGGAAGAAAACACTAGCTTCCATGAAATCTTCACCCCAGAACAGGCAAGAGAGAGAGGTTTCAGTGGCCTGACTGGATTTCTGATGAATAGGTCAGCTCTGTGCAGAGTCAAAATGTGTGACCTATGATGGCTCCTTCCCTGCCTCACTGGCTTTTAGCCTAGGAGAGCACAGCACAAAAATAAGGGATGTTTTCTTTTACTAACACAGTCTGTTCCAGGCCAGCTAACATCTTGTTTTGTTTTGACACCTTATAGAGAATTTACTGAATGGATTATTTTGAAGGTATATATTCATCAACTAAATGCTTGTCAAAGCAAATGAGCCTGTGACCTCCTTATAACAAAAACTCAACACAACTGACAGACAATGTGGTTATAAAAGGCATATTAGATAATTCTGAAAAGATACCTGCTTTCTCTTCCAAGGAAATGAACCAGAAGCTAGGGTCTCAAGCAGCAATCCTTGGGGGGGGGGGGGGGGAGAAGGGGGAATCCCATTCTCAAATGATGGGCATGTGATGTGAATTGATTAAAAAATGCACTTTTTATGCTTAATACAAAGAAGTACATTAATACTAATTTGTACTAACGTGAACTCCAATGAAATCTTTGTTTTAGTGTCCTGCAGGATATGAAGTTGTTTACTGTCTTCAAATGAGAAGAGAAAAGATTTTAACAAGTAATGCCAGAAAAGCTCATTATAAAAATTAGATTTACTTTAAAATTTGCATTAGTAGTTCAAGCTTTCCTTTAGGTAAAAATGTCTGAAGTATTGTCGTTCCTTAGTTATGTTATCTGTTTCAATGCCCGCTCGCTAACAAAATTGTTCTGGCATAGCCATACCTAATATTTATATAACAGAACAGCATCTTTGCAAAAGCAAATTTTTTAGTACAGCAAGATAACATGAATTTTAAATAGAGTGCAATAGTTATTCATGCCAAGCATTCTGATTTACCCAAGGATCCTGTCACTAGTACGTGCTCATCTAAAATCTTATTTGTTTTGGCAAGAGACCACAGCTTTTCTCCAGTTACTGTGCCACTGGTGTATGAACCATTTTATCCTCCATTATCATCACTCTCATTCAGGAGTTAGACCTAATCCTGCAGTCCTTACTGAAGCAAATATATTATTGAACCTGCTCTGCAAAGTTAACATACCGCAAACTTTCACTTACTTGAATGGGAGTTCTGTACGTGGGGTGAAAGTTGTCAGAGTATACAAGACCAGCGCTACACCCCCTGCACCTTTTCAGCCCTACACAGGGATCCACTGGTTGAACAGCTGCACAGGGCAGCTGTGCACTCCTACACGTCACAGAAAAGGTCACTGCACTGACTCCACTTAAACTTGTGCTTTTATGTATATAAGTAGCCCCAGTACTCTATGCAGCTGGCTTGGAGCAGCTGCATAACAACCCTACACGTAACCTGGGGCTTGGGTCACAGATTTCATTACTCCAACTGCTCCATGTTCCACCCACTCTCAGCCTGAATACTCAGTGTTAGTGTCAATTAAAGAATTCACTTTAACATTGTTAAGGAAGTCACTGAAATCTTCACCCTCAAATCTCCTCACCTCAAAGTCCTTCACTGTCAGCATCCTAACACCAGCACTCAGCCCTAAATCTGTGGGATGTTAATTCAACACCCAGTTGACCTGAACTGGTGAGATGGAACATGAGAAGTGGATTGGTTTCCAACGTAACCAAACCATAAAGGGAATAAATGGTAGATGCAAGTAGCACGTGCTCCCCCTTTTGCCCATTTACTCCGGGGTGTTTCACAGTCACATTGTACATGACCTGATGTGTCTGCGGCATCACTAGGCATGGCTGTGAGAAGGGCACATTGCCATAATCCAGTCTAGGGGTTGGCCGACTTCGCATCATTCCTGAAACACAATTGCTAGAAGGGTCTCACAGGGGAAGCCTCATGTGTGTCATAAGATGTTCTTTTCCCTGCTTCCAAAACGTAAACACTCCTTAAATGTAGCATTTCCTGCCTACCACTCTATTGAGGCAGTTTGGGATACAGGATACAAGCATCAATGTTCAGTCAGTCCAGAAAAGTTAGCAAAATCACCATCACATTTCGGTATTTAAAATGAAATCATCTGGACAGACGTTACCTTTTCTAAAGGACTTTCTACTCGTGGGATGCTGATCATTGGCATCTGGGCCAGATTATCCATATGAGAATTTTCATGTTCTGGTTGTCTTCCTCTAAAATTATTTACCACACATACAACCTAAAAAGGTCAGAAGGTAGTTAGAATAATGAACAAGCATTTTACTTATTTGAGCCTGAGCCTGAACTCCTTACTCAGGCAAAACTCCTACTGACTTTAGTAAGAGATTACTGTAGGAGAACAGAAATATCAATGAAATAAAATAAAGATACCCAGTTTGTCTTACTGTATCTAACCCTCTAAATACTAATTATTTTTAAACTATCCTGAGTTCAATGACTTTTCTACTTTGGTAAAATGTTCAGCAGTGGACCCACTATCACCAGAAGCAATGGCATAGTAATTCTAGCAAAGAAAACATTATAAATGTGACTAAATTAACTAGATTGACTGAAAGAATCATGTGAGTGTGTTAGTCAAATTTATGTTGACAAAAAGTCTTTAGTATTTCAAGATGATATAATTTTAAACAATATGGTTACATGCATTATCATAGTACAAGCGATCTTCCTAAAAGAAAATCTGTTGCTGATGTGGAATAATAAATGGCCAATTATAGTTATTTTAATCTCAAACTAAGTAGATGTTCAAATTAAGTTTTATCAAAAAATGCACAAAAAGTACAGCAATAACACTGAACTCCTATAAAGATTAGCAAATATTGAAGTCCATGATAGTGCTTCTAACACAGTATAATTTAAATGCTAATCATTTGGTACTATCCTGACACCAACATGAGCATTCACAAACACCTCCTCTAGAAATGATTATAAAAATCCGTTGTTTTATTTTATTAATTGCTTGTATAGCATGTTCTCAACTTGTTCACTCACTTGGCTTTTCAAAATGGATTGCTGGACTTGTGCAGAGTGGAAATTGATTTTAGTGACAATTGACTACTTTGAAAGACATTTTTCAAAATGTTAAACAATTGTTCCTGCAGTTAGCAGAGTATAAATTAAATGTCTTGATAAAAATTTATTTATATTCTCTTTCCAATAGCTAATTAATACTTAATGCACTTTTTTCACGTTTATTGTAGAGTGTAATTTATTTGTTTAAATAAATACTTAATCAAATGGAGGGATTTCTACAATTAATGTCTGAATATAAAAATGATATTCACACAAGTTTGTACAGCTTGTTTTCCCTTCCCCAGAAACAGCTAATGAATAATCAAACATTTAAACACCACAATTTTTGATTGTTTCTTCTAAGACGTCATTGTAGCGCTGGGGGTTTTACCACTGAACCTTCTCCAAAATCTAATTAAATCTAATGTCTCTACCAGTTTTATAAGGACTCATGCTGAAACAAGTACATGTTCCCTTGTGGAGCTGCAGTGGTGCTAGCAGGATAGAGAGCTAGCTTAAAAGGCAGGTGAGGAATTCTCTTAGAGTATTTCCCATGTGATAGCTCAAAGCCACCTATTCCTGACTCTGGGGTAGGAGGTGTATGTGGACAAGTGTCTTACACTCCCTCCCTTGATCCTGAGCCAACAGGACCACCCCTGAAAGGGTTGGTGGGGAGGGGGAGCATAATTTAGAAAAGCCCTAAGGCTGCTTTCAAATGTATCTCCAGGATCAGGAAGGTTGAAGGTGGGGTGATGGCTTTACACTCCTTGGGTTCTGAGCCCAGTGTAGCTTGGTCAGACCCAAGGATTACATCCAAAGTGTTTCTTAGGGGAAAAAATATATAAACTTTTGAGAGGGTGAATTTGTATTAGTGAAAGGTGTCAGAGAGACAGACCCATAGGGAATTTGAGTGTAGATCAGCATCTGTGCCCTTTCACAAACTTCAATTCTCTATTGAGATTGTCAATACAAGTGTTAGAGTGGTGGTGGTTTTGTGATATGGACATTTGTTCACATGAACTGAGAGTGGAGATCTGGGTACCATAATAAAGTTGCATCCAATTCCAAAAATCTCTCCAAAAGAGAAAGGGCACCTTTTTATATGGAATATACAAACCAGATACCAATTGCAGCATCACTAATGGCTAGACTTGCAATGACAGAAAATGATACATTAAATCACTCTTTGTCGGCTTCTATAGGATTTAAAGCTAAATTAAGTCTTTTATTCTGGTAAACCACATAATTTTCAATTAAATATAAATGAATACAAAATAAATTTACCAGGTTGTTGTTTTGTTTCATTTTGCCATGAAGAGCAACTGATTGATAATGCTAATATGGCACTTTAATACTGTATAGTGAAAATCAAGATTGGATGTCATTCTAAAAGAAATGCCCTCGCTCAACAAGTTATGGGCTTGATGTATGAACTATGGTATAAAATTCTATGCCCTCTGTTCTAAAATCTATGCATCTATGAAAACTGGCATTTTATTAAAACTGAGGCCCGCCTCAAAATCTGGCATTTTAGTTTCCTGTAAAAGAATCTAAGGCACCAATACTGCCATTAACAGCATAAATTTACACATGGAATTCTTTAATGTGATGTAGACATTTGCCCACGTGAACTGAAGCCATGGATCTGGGTGTCAGAATATAGGTGCATCCAGTCCCACAAGAAAAAGGGCATCTTTTTATATGCAATATACAAACCAGACACCTGAACTGCAACATCACTAAGGTAAGAAATCCGGGACCCAATGAAGTAGAGGAGAGTTTTGCCATTGACTTCAATGGGGCTAAGATTTTACCTTTTGTCTCTCTCTCACCCACATCCAAACACGCACACACACACACACACACACACACATATATATGCACTTACCAAAAACACTGCTATTGATATTCCAATTATAAATCCTGCTATCACATCTGACCAGTGATTTCGATACTCGGCTACTCTGTTGATACCAGTAAGAAATGCCAAACATATTAAGCCTAAGCACAGAACAGGTTTTGCAAGCCTTGTTCCTCTGGCTTTTATTGTGTTGGTAATATACATCTGAAAATTAGAAAAAATGAAGCATAAGACTATAACCTCTAAGGGAAATCTTTGTAATTTGGTTGGAAAAGACAACTATGCATACTTTGATTTTTGTATAGAAAAAAAAAGTAGGGCTCATTATGCAGTACATACCAGTTTCATTCTCTTTTTACCCAGAGATTAGATGGGTGCATTCTTTACACAGGATTCAGCATCACAGGCAGTAAAAATAAGAGTGGCACATGATATGGCTATTAAAAATCTTACATAGCTGTCAAATGTACATTTTCCTTATTGGTTTCCCTATGTATTTTGCTTTACATTCTCTCTCTCTCTCTTTTTTTGTGGCTAACTCTGAAAATACAGTTAAATGGAAACATACTAATCTCCAGTTATTTTAAAAACGAACAAACAAACAAACAAAACCCTGGTCTTGCAGTGTTATAGCAAAATCTTCAGATTTCATATTGTGAAATAGGGTGGCAGCATTTTAACAATATTCAAGGTCCCCTCCTATACCATGCAGCATATTAGATATACAATATGTAGCAAAACCTCAGGAATTATGATTCAAGGCCCAATACAAGTGCAAAATCCTACCCACAAGACACCTGCTGTTCAGAGTTTGGCCTGGCACAGCAAAGAAATCCCCTTCCAACTACTGGCATGAACTAGCTCTAAGCTCTGTGCATAGCAGTGGTGAGGAGGAAGAGAGGGTCTCCTGAGAGTCTGGCCTGGGTGTTGAGAAGACTGGCTGCAGGGTTGTTAAAGTTAAAGCTGAGCAGGTAAGAGCTCAGGGATTTCACAGGTCACTCACATCTCCAGAGCTCCAATGCTATCTGAGGAGGACCTGGCTGTCCCACCTCCAGAGCCAGCCCTAGCTTTACTCTAGCGAAGCTTCCAAAGCATGCAGAAGAGAACCATTCTCCTGTGCATCTTAGGAGTCAGCGTCGCCAAGTCATGTGATTTTATTGCAAGTCTTGTGATACTTGGTGTTCGTGGGGTTATGGGATTATGCTAGAATCTCAACCTCCATTAAAAATAATGGCATGATTGTGGAAACAATCTTGAAAACATGAATCTTTAAAGGCTCAAAAACCAGAAGTCAAATGAAAAAAAGAATCCAAAATGTATCATTTTTAAATCTCATGCTTTTTCTTGGGCAGCTGACTCATGATTTTTGAATGCTTGGTGTTGCCAATACAGGAGAAAACGCTTGTCCTGCAAAGCTCCTGACCTCTCTAGGCAATTGCCTGTCCCTCACACACCTGCATGTGAGTAGCTTTAAAGAGGGAGACTTGTCCATTTGTCTGTTGCATAATCTGACGGTACACGGGGACTTACCAATAACATCGAGAATTATACCACCACAACGACCAGGACTAAATTTCTGTAATCCTGGCTGGATGGCATACCTGCACTCCTCAGATGCACACTGAAGGCAATTAGTGACAGTAAATACCATTGGGTGAATAGACCTAGAAACTGAAGCTTTTGTATTCAACACCAACTTCGCATGCCAAATTTTCCTAAACTATTTCCACTTCCAAGCACCTAGTTATCTCTATATAACATTATCAGTGTAAACCCCTAGTGCAGTCACCATTGCAGTGGTGTGAGCAGTGATTTCTGAGGGTGCAACATGTCTACACTACATCTGTGTAGCTACACTGCTTACAATCCTGATACATATAAGGTTTCAGGCTCCAATAGACCCACAGAAGTAAATTCCAGAGCTGTAAGCTCTCCACTGAGAAGGCCCTGTTTCCAGTCCTCCCCCCAGCTGTTTAATGTAGGTTCTATGACTGGTCAAAATTTTTTTATCCATGCTATTCATTGGAAAATTGGGTTTTCAACAAAACAATTTTTTTTCAATAAAAGTGTTTGCTTTCTGCAGAAAATTTTGACTTTTTGTCTAAAATCTGAAAAACTCTAAACCACAAAACTTTTTCATTTTTGACAAAATGTTTTATTTTTAATTCTACACAGGAAAAAACCTAACAACCATTTCTAGAGACCTAATCCATATAGAGCTTCATGGATGAAAGCCAAAACCTTGATTTACACAAGGAAATAGGTAGGCAGAACTGGAGAACTGATGCTTTATATTTCCTATGAATAACAAATGGCTAGCCTCATTCTGTACCACCCGATCCTTCCAACTGATTGTCAGGTGTAGCCAATCACACAGCACTGCAATAATCCAGTCAGAAGATATTTTATGGGTCTATCCTTATGGGAGCAATGGTGAGCCAGGACTTCTAAGCATAGGAGACAATAGTCAGACTGTGCCAAAGGCACAACCCCACTCCCATTATCTTGAATCCCAGCCTCAAAGCAAGAGCTACGATGTGCTCACTAAAGACAAAAATCATCAGTCACAAAGGACATGTGTGTTTGCCACTATAGATCCATAGACAGAACATGATAAATGCCAAGTACTTTGCTTAGAATATGAGAGGGAGAAACATAACATAGAGAAAAAAAAATCAACAGCCAAATTAGGAAACTTAAAATCATGGCAGTACACACACAACATACTTTACATACTGCTTAAACTTGCTCATAATTGACCTCCAGCATAAAATGTATGCTGTACAGCAAGAAATCATTATATATACAATTATTATTAATGGGAATAAGCATTTTAGGCTGTATTTCCAACCCCCATTCCTCCTCTCTTTCTCATTTAGAAAACATGTTTTTCCCTTCACTTATTCTCCTTTTATCTTCACTTCTCTGTATGCTACAGTACTGAAGTCAAATATTGATGAGATAATAATGATTTAAACTTCCAGCAGTCTTTTGTCAGCTATTTTTTCAGGTACTGAACACCAAACCCACTTCAAGTACAATGTGGTCTCGGTTACCCAGTGACCCTCTATTTCAGTTCCCCAGACCTACTGGGTATTTTAGTACTGTGCAATCACTGTGATCCACACCACGTAACACAGGTCTCCATTCACGCTTAGATCAGAGAAAACATAGCAATATCTTAAGTGCACAGCAGGATCACAAGAATTCAAACAGTTTAGATAGATTTGACAAGAAAGCTGGCAGCAGGTTACCCTGGTTCAACTCTGCACCATGGGGTATTAAGTCAAAATGACTACTTCTAAGCAAATATCAACTAAATAAATGACTTTTCCAAAGGCAAGTGATGGTGATGCATATCAATTGTCTATGATCTATTCTCATCACTCCAGAAGATAATCTTAACTCTAACTCAGGTGTCAAAAACATTACAATCTAAGGGGCCAATTCTGTTGCAGGCCAAGGCCCCTTAAATCCCTTCTTGATTCAACACTTTGTAGGAGGTGTTCAGCAGCACTTTGCATTCCTGAGCTCCTTAGTCAGGCAAAACACCCACTTGAACAAAATGGGAGTGTTGCCTGAGTCAGAAAGCGCTGCAGGATCAGGACCTATAAGTGTCCTTGTCCTCCTTGGATAACTAACGATAAGTTCCAACTACTGGGTTCACTGATTACCATTTTGATTGTAGTTATGCCCCTGGCATTCTTCACAATGGTAACTTGAGAGTTTTGCCAGAATGGTCACCATTTTTACCATGTCTTTATACCACAGGCACAGCTGCTTTTACAGATAATGAATCAGGGGAAATAGGAACCTGTCTTTAGACACTCCCTTCTGCCATTGGGCATTTCAAATTTGCAATGTTCTTTGTAGACATTACAAACTAGGAATCACACCCATCCGTTTCTAACATTGATTTTCCACAGTTTTGGAGGAATGTATTCTGATATTTAACTCAAAGATTAGCCTTGCAGTATATATATATATTATATTGTGTGTATGTGTGTGTATATATATATACACACACATACACACAATATAATTAAATATGCTTTCTATTCCTTGTCCTGTATCGGGGGTAGCCGTGTTAGTCTGTATCCTTGTCCTGAAGCAAAGTGGCATTAAACAGAGTAAACAAATAATTTAAACAAAACAATAAACATGCTGAATTATTTTGCTACGGTTTATACAAATGTTAATTTTAATAAATATTAAATTCATCTCAACAAAGGAAAAACAGCTCAGTGAATTAAACCTGTGCTCTCATTAGTGAGGCTGAATGATGTTGGATGAATAAAGTTACTTACTGAACAAGTATTTATTTCAAGGACAAAAATGTGGGGAAATTAAAAAACAAAACAAAACTTTGTAAAGTAATCAGCTTAGCAAAAGGGCCAATAAACAAATTAGATTATGCATGTAATATCAAGGATAAGTGTCCTGAGATGATACACGAGAGAACTATCACAGACCGCACTCTTCTCTCTCTCTCTTGCTGCATCAGTTCCTTGTTAAATCCTGATCAGCAGTACTCTTGCTATTGCTAATCTTGTTTTTTCCCCGAACATGGATCTAGCTGTGTCGGGGTACGAAGTTGCTTTGCACATGGGGGCATGGGGTCAGTAAGAAAGTGACTTGTCATGGTGATTTTGTAGACAAACATTTACTAGACATTCAGTAAAACACTCATTTTGCTTTCAATCTTCAAGGTGTTGGAATTCAGGTTGCCAAAGCTGCTTCATAAACTGAAAGAAATCTCTAGAGCCAAGTGTTTCCAAAAATAAATATTTGCTAGTTCATTTTCTTTTGAGTACATCGAAACAAAATGCTGGCATCATAAGCTATATGGGAGATTGTACTTTTGATACCTATATTTTCAGAACCTGCCAATAGTGTATTATATTGGTAACCTCTCTCCAAAAAAAAAACAAAAAAACAAACAAAAAAACCACTTACTTTCTATGAACCAGATTTTCAAAGGTATGTAGGCACCTAAAGATATGGGCCTTAGGTATCTAGGCACTTCTGAAAATCCCACTAGGCTCCTTGTTTTTAATCAAGATTCTACCAAAAAATTTTGCCTTGCATGCTTATATTTTCCAATGGTTATGTCACAACTTATCAAGTGTTTTGTGACAACCTAAATATAGCATATTCGTTACTTTTCCCTTGGTCTCATGGGACTGTAATGGTTTTGAGACACT